AATTAAATTAAGGTCAGTAATTGAGCCGGATAATACATTATTAGTTCAGATGATTCCAACATGATAAGACAGCGTTGGAAAATTCAACCCTGCATTTGGTTCTCCCCCCCGTCACTGGTAGTGACCTTACAAACCTCTCCATCTACAAGCAACAGTGCTGTTTGAGGAAAGATTTCATTCATGCAAGCCCATCGCTCTTTGTATTGATTTGCGTTATGGGCAATAATCAATAGTCAGTCAGGTGACTTAAAGGTTCACGTCTACTGCGCTTATTTTAGGCAGGATTTTTACACAATATCATTTTTGATCTACGTATGAAACTGGATATGTGTATATAAGATGAAATTAAAATAATTGCTTCGCTGATTCCTGTTTTGCCAAACATCATCGGAAAAACAGGAACACGTTCGCACCTGCATGAATAATTTAATCTTCAGTTAGTCGTTCAAAATTGATTCAGAAAGTTTACGCAAAATCTTCGGGAAACTATTCGTTCGTTCCTGTGAAACGTACCATGAGGGATGACGGTTCTCAGAATTTCCACGCCATTTTTTCTCTAGCCATGCGCTGCCGAATTTATGACGAATTTATGAAAGCCTTTCTCGTTATCATACGTGTAAACGAGTCTCCAGTCTACCATACCGAAAAGACATGAACCGACTTAACACACCACTTCGCTTTGCCATACTTTGAGCCATTCTTGCTGCTTTAGAGCCGTAGTCCTTAATCATTCACAGCCATTGTTCCCCCATGCTGAAGCTTTACGCAGCGGTTAGAAAATCTTCCACAACGAGCACCTCACCTGCTTCGATGTGACCACCTTTGTCAATGGACAATTTACGTCAATGCCCGATTTGAGAGGAATCAATAATCGCCTATCGGTCTTCAAATATCCTGGTTTCTCCGTCTTTCCCAGCTTACAATCTACAGATTAAATTATGTTTCAGATAGTGGCAGTAAAAGAGACTTTTCTTCAGCTCTATAAGCCACTGTGCAAACGACGGCAGATTAGTCCAAAGACGCTGTGCACAGTTCTGTCGGTCGCTCAGTCGTCGTCCTTTATGAATGTGTGTTTGGCCATATGAGTCGAAAATATGAGGTTACTAAAATTCTTCGACCAATTGTGCTCACAAATAATCTCATTGGATTATGATTTATGAATCATATATCCAAAGCCATAATCCGTGCCGTTGCAACATCACCAAGCTCCTACTTTCTTGAACGAACGGCGACTGATACGCCTAAGCCACGAACTGAGACGTCTACTTGATAACGTCACTTTCAATACACTGAACGCCACAAAGATTTTTTGGTGGTACGAAAAAAGAGGTAAACATGTAAAGGTCTTGTGAAACCTTGTCAGAGCTGAGTTTAAAGTCCCCTCTAACCCGTCAATGGAAGGAAACCGGCGAAAGAAGGATTTAGTGAACTTGGTGGCAGACATTATCTGACCCCGGAAGTCATTGGAGCCATCTATATCAGTGATCATGATAGGCATAAAAACAAAAACAGGAACAGTTAGCAATGAAAGAGGAAACGCTGCAAGAAGTTGTTTCATATCTGAGGTACATGGAAATGCCGAATTTCCCTCATGTATGTTAGGATTTTTGTTCATTTGATTTTCCAGAGTGACTACTTTCAGCGATCGGTAGAAAGGCAGTTTGAGTATTCCATTAGCCTTTGATCACTGTTTCCTCATAAGGAGTATACAATGCTTTTCCTCAGTGCGCAATCGCCCGAGAGGAAATTGATTTAAGTATTTATATGTGGAAACCACGATTTGCCTGCTTTGCTATATCTTAACTTTT